GCGTGGATTCTGTTCTTCGACTGCATTCTTTTGTTTACTTTCTACACGGCAATTCTCAGTATCAAACTTGAAATCAACTGCATCAAGCGACATTATGACATGCGAATGGCCCTCGAAGATGATGGTGTTAGCCGTCGCGTCGCCGAGAATGTGGCTAAAAGTAATGATGACTGGACACCGTCCAGCGAATCTGGCTCGAAGAACACGACCTTATTTGGTCGCATGCGGAGCAGCAGCGTCCCCAAGTTCAAGATTCTTATGATTTCTGGTTTTGTTTTCATCAATGTCATTAACATCTGCACGATTCCTTTCCGCAGCGCAAGCTCTCTGTCAGCCATTCGGTCTTGGGCTGGTGGTCTGGGCGGAGTTGTTTCAACTCCCCCAGTCGACCCGGTCAAAGTCGCTAGCAACGGCCTTGCCGCCATCCTGACTGCTGCCAGAGCAAGTGGGAAAGCAACACTGGTCACCGTCCTTACACCTATCAAGTACGAACTTCAGTACCCATCGGTTCACTATGGGCTCGCATCTTCATTGGGCGATGGTGGAAGCTCTGCCGTTCAGTTCGACAAGTATGGTGTTGGTGGTCGAATGGTGGGAAGTCTTTTGAAGAGCCTTGAAGATCCGGTGCTATCAAAATGGATCGTGATTGCCCTGGCTCTAAGCGTGGGTCTCAACGGGTATCTGTTCAATGTTGCCAGATGGAGCATCAAAGACCCCACCGTCCCTGATCACAGCATCGACCGCAAGGAGCTGGCCCGCGCTCAGCGCTTCAACGAAACGGAATCAGCGACTCTTCCCTTGGGCGAATACGTCCCCCCCACGCCCAGTCATACTGAGCCGGCAACGCCCTCACTGTCTGACGACGAGGCAGTTGTGTTGTCCATGTCAAAATTACAGCGCCAAGGAGGTCAGTCTCAGTCTCAGTCTCAGTCTGAGCATCGATCCATAGGAGAATTAGAGAAGTTGATTCTGGAGAAGAGAACTCATGAACTCAGCGACGAAGAGGTTGTGACCATGTCCATGCGTGGAAGGATCCCCGGTTATGCTCTCGAAAAGACTCTGAAGGACTTTACTCGGGCCGTGAAGGTCCGCCGTACAATTATTTCTCGCACTAAAGCCACTTCTGAAATTACTAATGGCCTCGACCGATCCAAACTTCCCTTTGAAAATTATAATTGGGAGATGGTTTTTGGTGCGTGCTGCGAGAATGTTATTGGGTACTTGCCTCTCCCTGTTGGTGTGGCGGGCCCGCTTGTTATTGACGGACAGAGCTACTTCATTCCCATGGCCACGACCGAAGGCGTCCTGGTTGCCAGCACCAGCCGCGGTTGCAAGGCGATCAACTCTGGTGGCGGTGCCATTACTGTTCTAACGAGCGACGGTATGACCCGCGGACCTTGCGTCAGCTTTGAGACTCTGGAGCGTGCCGGTGCTGCTAAGCTCTGGTTGGATTCCGAGACTGGTCAGAACACGATGAAGAAGGCCTTCAACTCGACAAGCCGATTCGCGCGTCTGCAGCATATGAAGACGGCCCTGGCGGGAACGAACTTGTATATTCGATTCAAGACGACGACAGGAGATGCCATGGGCATGAACATGATTTCCAAGGGCGTCGAGCATGCGCTGACCGTCATGGCCAGCGAAGGCGGCTTTGACGACATGAACATTGTGACTGTGTCTGGAAATTATTGTATTGACAAGAAGCCGGCCGCCATAAACTGGATTGACGGTCGTGGCAAGGGCATTGTTGCAGAAGCCATTATTCCAGCCGAAGTCGTGAAGAGCGTGTTGAAAAGCGACGTCAACGCTCTAGTGGAGCTGAATATTTCCAAGAACTTGATCGGGTCTGCCATGGCTGGTTCTATTGGAGGATTCAACGCCCACGCTGCCAACATTGTTGCTGCTATCTTCCTTGCCACCGGTCAAGATCCTGCACAGGTGGTGGAGAGCTGCAATTGCATTACCACCATGAAGAAGTACGTACTTGCTCCCTGCTTCCTTTCCTATACGTGTACATATATCCCGCTTGTTCTACGTTCCTTGGCATCATCATCGTCGTCATCATCGTCATCATGATGCCACCAAATACTAACGGTTTACCTTGTTTCCAGTCTCCACGGATCACTTCAGATTGCCGTGTCCATGCCGTCTCTTGAAGTCGGCACCCTTGGTGGTGGTACCATCTTGGAGCCTCAAAGCGCTATGCTAGATTTGCTTGGTGTGCGAGGGTCTCATCCCACCAACCCAGGAGACAATGCCCGCCGACTGGCACGCATTATTGGCGCGTCCGTCCTGGCTGGTGAACTGTCGCTTTGCAGTGCCCTCGAGGCCGGGCACCTCGTCAGGGCACACATGCAGCACAACCGGAGCGCAGCGCCATCCAGAAGCACGACACCGGCTCCTCCTGCTCTAACGCCTGCCTCGCTTTCCATGACGAACGCGCAAGACAGGCCGAGCAGAAACGCTGCGGCCAAGCAGCGGTCGAAGCGATGAATGGACAGGGGAGCGCGAGGGAAGACAAAGCAGGATGGGAGAAAAAAATGGACAACGGCGTGACAATGCAGCGCTTTCGCATGCTGGGTGTTTTTCATTTCCTTTTGTTTGTTTGTTTTTATTCATACTGTTGTCCCGCATGTAGAGCTGTGGAGCATCGAATAGCGACCAAGTAACTAGCTGCATAGACAATGACATAATGCTACATCTAATGTTTCGAAAGGCTGGGTCAGTAGGAAGGTGTTTGATATACCATAGCTATACCTCGCAACCGCCATTGTCATGATACTCAATTATTCAGCAAAGTTTCCCACTGTTGTGTTACTATTTTGAATTTTAAACTCTCGGCCGTGGAAAGCATGCATGTCCGTGGCTGTCGGTGCATATGTCGACCGCCACCTTTGCATCGATAGATGTACAATAGATGTACATATGTGTCCGTATTACCAAAAAAAAGAACAAAAGACCATTTATTCACGGTCCTCTTTCACCTCGCCCATCGGCAAAGCAAGACGTCGCACCTGCGCAACCTCGGGCCCATGGACGGAAACCATCTCGACACCACGCTCCGTCATTCCCCGCCTGCACTCGGCCCAGGCCTCGACAACAGCCGGCCTCGTGGCCTCGTCGACGACAAAGACGCGGAAGCCCTCCTCGACGGCGTGCTCGGCCGTGGCTCTCACGCAGTAGTCGGCGGCCAGCCCGGCCACAAAGACATGCGTCACGCCCTCGGCCCTCAACCGGCCGGCGAGTCCGCTGTCGGTGATGCGAAAGGGGTCATAGAAGGCCGAGTACATTTCCAGGCGGGCGTCCATGCCCTTGTCCAGCACGGCGTGGACGCGCGCGGCGTGCATCTCGGGGACGAGTTGCGCGCCGGGGGTTCCGGCCACGCAGTGCACGGGCCAGAGGGCTGTGGTGTAGGATCTGGATGGATCGGAGGGGTGGACGATGCGGGTGGTGGACGGGAAGAGGTTTTCGGGGAGGGCGGCGTCGGTGTCGTCGTCGCCGTTGTTACCGGCCGAGCCGGACGGGTGGTGGTGGTTGGCGGCGAAGGAGATGTGGTTCGGCGGGTGGGTGTCGCGGGTGGCGATTTTGAGGACAAAGGGAAGGGAGAGGAGGGTGTTGATGTAGGGTGTGATTGCGCGTGCGTGGGGGACGGGGATGGCGCCGTCCTGTGCGGATCATGTTAGTTTTTGTGTGTGCGCGTGTGCGTGCGTATGAGTATGTGTGTGAGTGTAAACGACATGGACGGGCGATGGAATAAACTGCAAGGAGTGTGACGACCACGGGCCCGGTGGCATCCGAGATCAAGAGGACAGACGGAGGAGGGACATGTACAGGAGGGCAAAAGTCTTCCTGGAAGTCGACGACAAGAAGAGCGGGCCGAAAGGCAGCAGCCATTGCGGAAAGAGGGTTGAGCGAGATGAAGCTTCAGGACGAGATGCGAGGTGAGGTCATGTCTGTCGTGTCTCTGAGTTGGTTGGGGACGTAAGTTTGACTGATGAGCGGGGGGGTTTTGACTGGCGCGGCACCGAACTAGGTATATGTGCATACATTTCTTTTTCTTTCTTTCCTTTTTTTTTTTTTTTTTTTTTTTGGCCTTGCTCTCCGACACGATGGCACGCATCGTCTTTCCAGCCACGCGGGGAAGAAAAGTGTGAGAAGCATCAAAGAGCGCCGTCCAGCACGGGGAGGAAGAGGGGCTTTCCATGCCAATGCTAGCTAGGGGCCGGCCAATGCTGGGGGATTGGGGATCGAGCATCGGGAATTCGTGAATCTATTTCCGTCTCAGGCCTCAGGCGACTCTGCATCTACAAAAAAGACTTGGCGTCTGTATACTGCCAAGACATTGATTCGACTTCATTTCAAACGCAGTCACGCAGTCTCTATCTGCTCTATGCCTCGGGGGGAGGGAATCATGATTTGCTCGTCTCGCTCTGGACTTGGGGCGGTCGAGTAAACACAACGTCTCGTCATCTATAACGACACGCTGCTACCATGTTCTTTGGGGTGGGAGAGTGGTCGATGATTTGCCCCCTTTCTCCAGCTTCCATGTGCAAGGTGTATGTGGTTTGTGCGAACATGACGTCCAACCCCAACTCAAGCGGCGACTAATTGACTTTCTGTCCCTCCTCGTGCCACCCGAGAATTGGCACTACCCCAATCATCATCGGAATAGGACGTGCCAATGCGTGCGTGTTCTACCAGACTCACGGTCTGTTGTAGCCTGCGGGATGGTGAGCGGGAAGAATTTTCCGATTGACTAGGAAGACGAGGGTGAAACCACAAAGTAGGAAAGTGAGCATCGATCAACGCGACGAAATAATATGGGAGTTACAGAACCATTCAATACATACATACATATGTAAATACATAATAGATGGAGCCAGTCTCGCGTTAAAAAGTCACAACGGAAAGCAAAACAAGCAAAAAGAAGGAAAAAAGGAAAAGCGAGAGAACCAAAAAGGCAACCTCAGACACCTCTCAACTGCTTGGATTATAGGAAAAGCCCGATGCGGGGGTCGAACCCGCAACCTTGAGATTTTTGGAGTACTCATAAGAGTCTCACGCTCTACCGATTGAGCTAACCGGGCCGGAAGAGGAAATCCTCAACCGGTTGTGTGTGCTGGGTTGTTGAATTGGATGCCGCTATTTCATACTATAGAGTCTACATTCCAGGGAAAAAGTTTTCGATAAAAAAATTGTCTGGAAACTTGTGCGAGGTGCTAGTGTGAGTGGGTGCCTCTAGTGGAGGAGCAGGGGCACCCTGGTTTCAGCCCCTTGCATGGGACGTCATTGTGGGGCGGGCGCTTCTCGTTCCATTTTCACTCAGAAACTGATCTGACGGGATACCCTAGATAGACCCAGCCTCTACATATCAGCAACTTTTATCGATTCTGCGGCCTGCCATGCTTGACATGATATATACATATATATATATGTATATGTATATATTTTTGCCTTCTTCTCTTTACTTCTCCCGACACGTGGTGAAGTCGCAAAGTTACTGTCGAGCCTGGCTCTTTGGTCAATGTCAATCAACTAGTCTGCGCCCCCTTGGCTCAACTTCAGTTCTCACCGTTCCGTGACACTGCTCAGCCTCTTTTTCCCGCTCTCGGCTCCCAGACACAGGTCTGTGCCGGACTGCTCTCATCAGTTCATTCATACGTCGTCGACCCGTCGCCTAGTCCAACAAATCCAGCTTCTTCCAGCTGACGATGCAGAGCTGCATGGCGGGTAAAAACAGGTAAGTGTGCGGAGCCATTGTTGGGCCGCGGCGAGGAACGAATCGAGAAAGACGTCAAAGAGACGGCTGGCGCTGCCAACGCCGGCGAGGGCCACGAACCCAACGACAAGACGTCGTTTATGTCGGCATCTGTATCGCCGTTGGCTGCCATGGTGGAGAGGCCAAGCAGATCAAGAGCATCGAGGCCGTCCATCTGCAGCTGCCGCTCTGACATGGGACTTGTCGATGGGACTGCGCTGTCATCTGAAGCCGTCGCCGGCGGCGGAGCTGGATCGCCGCGTCGATCAGATGCTTGCGCCCGGCTTGCGCCGACCATGTATCTCTCCAGCTCCTTCTCATAGGTAAGATAAGACTGCAGCGAGAAGGACATCCCGGGTGGTGATGTGGAAGTACTGGAAGGAGTCGAGAGAAATGATGCAGGTGTCTGTACCCTTGACTCCATGTCTCCTGTTTCGTCATCACCAGCAACAGCAGCTTGTGGTTCTTGCGACACGATTGACTTGAACAGAGGTATCGTAGAAACGGATGAACAGGCGGTAATACTAGACTTGCCATCTTGTTCGAGAAACCGGCTCGTGCTGTCGGATCATGAGATGTCGTCAGCATCTCAGTAGGCCATTCTTTTTTTTTTCCTCCGCAAGGCTTGCATCAAACTGAGCGAGCGACAGCAGCAACAAGAACGTACTCATCATCACCATCGTCATGGTCCAACGCCAGCCATCCAGCTTTGTTCATCTTAGACACGTTCAACGACGCCATGTCATCGGCCTTGCGCCAACAAAACAGACGCAATGAAGTTTCAAGAGTAGATTTCGAGAGTAGATTTGGATAGGAAACTTTAAACAGTATGGCCCCGAATGAAGTCAGTGTGTAAAGACTCCCAAGGCCTCAACGTTTGAGGGTTCTGCGACTAGTTATGAGGCGTTCTAAGCACATACTTTTTTTTTCTTGGGGGGGGGGGGGGGGGGGGATATTTTTTTTTTCAGAATGCTAAAAGTTGTACAGTTTGAGCAGCGGAAACAATCAAAGATGTCCGACTGGTATTATTGTTCGACATTTGAATGCTTCCTATCTTCAGAAACAAAAAACTTGTTCTACCACACATCATTGAAAAGAGACTCTGCCTCTCGGGGAATACAATAAAGCGAGAAAAACACCGAAAGGACATTGACTCGATCCTGTCGCCGTGCCTTTTGGTGAAAGGGCGAGAGTGCACATATCGAGTCCGCGGGATATGCGCAAGAAATTACGAGCCAGACCCGGTCCTGCAGGTGACGTTGAAGAAAACAAAAAGAAAAAAAGCAGAAAAAGGTAAAAAAAAAAGAAAAAAGAAAAGGCACTCTTGACTTGTCATATTTCATTTCCGAGCAAGGTAGTCCGTCAATTTTCAGCACGTCGTAGGACGAACCTCAGACCGAGGTGAATTGCAGCAGCAGCAGCACGAGGAGTGAAAAGGCAGAGAGGAGGATTCAAAAACTATTTGGACCAACCACGTCTTCTGGTTTTCTGAAATCGACATGCACCGCGGCCAGTCAGTGGTCTGTCCATCTACATGCTCGCCCGCGCGGCAGAGCAAGAAGCGGTGTCTCGAGAAAGATCAGACAACACAGAGACAAAAACACCACGGACCACAGTTGGTTTTCGGTAATACCAAACATTTTGCCTTATGAAATATTGTAGTCATCTGCGACACTGTAAATGTAGCCTCTCTTTCCATTCACGACACGCGGCACACGGCACGAATCCAGACAGACAACACATGAAAGAAGGGATCCTTGTTTAGGATCTTGTTCAGGGTCCCAGGCGGGCGGGAGCCTGCGCGTGGAAATTCCGGACTCGGGACACCTTGATGGTCCAGTGCCGGCTTGACCAGCTTGAGCGGCACCCACCAGATAGACAATATCTAGACTGATGTGTGGCAGTTGCGATTCAATGTTCGAGCGCGAGCACCCAGATTCTCGGGACCATGATGTCGGCACTTTCGGGTCCGGCCCGGCCATCAGACGGATCCGTCCCAGCCCTCTTGCTCAGCGAAGTCGGCATCATTCGCACTCTTTTTTTGTACCTTGACCTTTTGTCCTTTTGTTCCACAAGAAAGGCCGTTGCAGCTCCGGGGAAAGAAAGTAAACAAGCCGGAGCAAGTCGTACCGACATTGTGTATCATTGCGATGTGCGATATGGTGCGTGCGATACGGTGAAGATGCGAAGGAAAAGAAAGAAAGAAAGAAAAGATCCCAGTCGTGAAATGGCATCACACTTTGGCCACACAGTATGACGGCACGGGGATGGCTACTTGCATTGCATAAAGTTACTCGTCTGCAGGGACAGGGAATGGATGCCAGAAACAGACACGCCCAACCGAGTGAGCGAGCGCGGCGTGTGCATAAACTGCATAGTATCAGTTCCTGAATGTGTAAGTACTACGTACATAGTGAGTGTACATACCATGTATACTCAAATCTTTGCATACACCTCCCGTCTCCTGCAATCTGGTCGTGCTAGAGTTGGCTCGTCTACAAGACGAAACGTCCATACATGGCAACGACACCAGCGAACCGCGCTCCTTTGTCCATTGGGGAGTATCAAACTAGACTCCCCTTGTCCCGTTTCGCCGTCCTCGACACATCGACCCCCGTCACAGGCGACGCAGCACCCCATGCAAGTCAGGAAACGAAAATAAAGGAAAAGAGAATCACCTAGCGGCAATACACAAACCCTTGATGCGAAATGCCGTGCGAGGAAGGGAGAACGGAACGGAAGATGAAAAGGAAAATAAAATTGAAATTAAAATTAGAAAAATAATAATAGAGAGAGACAGAAAGAATCGCTTCTGCGGTCAAACAATGAGTTGGCGCCTCCCATCACGCTTCACTTGTACGAGGCATTCGCCGCTGATGCCACGCATTGAGCCACGACGAAGCGGAGCAACGGTCCGGTACCGATACGCGGGCCGATGCGAAGTCGTGGTTCTCGACAAGTGACACGCAGCCAAGACTACGACCGGTCCTCGTGATGGTTTTCTTGTCTCTTTGTCGTGGGCCAGGCAGCGCCGGACGGGTGATTAGTCGGTCAACGAGTTTCTCCAGGACACGATGCTCGCGTTGCTCCCTGGCGGAGCTGTAACGGGATGTGTTGCAGAGTTCTGCGTGGCGTTGGGGGTTTTGTTTTGGATTTGGATTTGAGTTTCTTGGAGAATGTGATTGATCAAGGAATATAAAATGATAGAAAACGTATTGCGGATGCTTGCATGTGATGTGTTTTGACGTGACTATCGAGCGAACTTTGTCATTGCGGGACTATGAATAAGAAATATATATAATTAAGTTCCAAGACGATATATACAAGACACTTTGGCCGAGTGGTTAAGGCGATGCCCTGCTAAGGCATTACATTCGTGTGCGCAGGTTCGAATCCTGCAGGTGTCGAGCTTTTTGTCGCTCGCAGGTCCTGTCCCGCAGAACGTAGATGCCTCATTTTTCGTACACGATTTTCTTTTTCTTTTTATATTTTTCCTGTTCCTCGTTGATTTAACAAGGATGTAGAACTTTACAAATGCTCCAGTTTAACGAACCTCGAACAATAACCCCGTAAAGTCCGCATTTTCGCGACGTGGAACAAGATCGATGGCAATAATAAACGCCAATCTGGCAATGTCGAGTGCAAGTTGATGGGTTGAAGTTGTGTAGGCATACCATTATTTCTCCAGCTCTCTTTTGCATTTATCATTCATTATAAGCTGATCGGCTCAGTGTTCCTTGCGCTTCGATGGGCTGATGGTCCTCTATGCTGGTCTGATACTGTACCGAGTCGCCGACTGCAGATGTGGAGCGTCAAGGCGTCGCCTGCGCCTTTGCAAATGTAAGCGTTGACTTCTAATAAGTGGAATGACTGCACTCAGAAATATTACGCATGTCCTTGTTAGGCATGCAGTGACATAAACACAATGCATACAACGTGTAAAAATAGACCACAGTGCCGCGCGACCAGTTGACTAATTCTTGTCCCGCGGGCCTCTTCCAACCCTAACCCTTTGGCCCCCCCTCCTCTGTTGGAGCCCCATGTCGAGGTTCCCACGTCAGAAATCGGGAGGGACGTCGACCATTTATTTACCTGCTTTTAAAGCTCCGACCCATTATCGAGACCTCCAGTGGATGCTACTCAAAACAGATTGACGACGCCTCTCCTTTCCCTCTTGGGACTTTCCACACCATGGAAGGCTATCCCCAAGATAGCTTGGATCACAATGTTCCCTTCATGGTCGCGTCGGGCTTGAATGACGCAGAGCCGAACCTGGACCTGGGAGGAGAGCTTAGCTCCCAGGGACTACTGATCAAGTCAGATCTGCCA